AGCAGGAAGTAAACTGACACCGTGGTGAAACCACCCAAGAATAGGTAACTGGTAGAAAACACTAAACACTATGATATGTATACACTGGAGAATCTTAAACACTCCCACCGCTCCGGAGGGCTCAAACGAGTGTCTGATCCCATAAAACACTTAATTGCTATCTGCCCAGGCTCCGCGTCCGAGCCCTACTGCTGCAGCTTGCAGTCCTAGTTTCACCACTCCTTCTGACTCTCTCTAGCCATGCATTTCTCTGCTGCAGCAACCCATGCTTCAGCGCTGCTCCTTCCACTTCCTCCTGCCCTCTGCTGCCTTCTTGGAGCTGTAGTGCATGTCACAGTTCCTTTCCCTAGTCTTCTAGGGAGGCTTCTGGGCATTGGAGTTCATGTTACAACATTACAGTACACAACACTCACCACAGTACATTGCAGCTGATGACAGATACTTGAAAAACCAGAAAATTCCTTAAAAAGCATTAAGGACATATATTTGCTATTACTGTACTGAACCTATAAAAATCAAAACCTTATAAATGATTGCTTATATATATTTTTGCAATAGGCAAGCTGTATACTCATGTCAAACACAGCAATTCTATCCATTTCGGTCTACTTTGTACATCCTTTTTTACTGAAAAAGAGTAAATATTCTGGCTTTCCAAGTCAACCTATAAAGTCATGTTGTTTAAATAACAGTTTTCAAGTTGTTTTGTGTTTACCCATGGAAAAGACACCCTTTTCCCAATAATCTGCTAATTGAGAGGTAAATATTAACATACCTGGTAACAACTGCTGTGTTAGGAGTCATATATTTATTGTCAATTGGTGCACAAATCCAAATAAATAGAAGCACAGTAGGAAAAGCATTGGTAAAAATGTTATTACTGAAACAGCTTCAGCACAAAAGCTTCCAGGCAATGAGCTGGGGAACCATAATATAGACATTGTGCACAATCCTCTTCCCTCCAACCCAAGACTGAAATACATATTCCCATCATTCTCAGGAGCTGGGGATGTTTGACAGTTCTGTCATTGTTCATCTTCTCCCGCACCCCATGACCTGCTGATAGTTCAGGCCTATAAGAAATATTGACTCATTCCAGCAATTCGCTAGTTTTATTATTAATCATGGGTGCTGCAAAGGGCTCAGGGGAGCAGGAGGGCAGTCAGACTGGGGGCACCATGTGCATGTGCGCATGCACGCACACACATGAATGCCAGGCAGCCTGGAGACCAGCTCCTACAGATAAGGCCGGGGTGGGCAGGATTGAACCGCCATGAGGGAGTTGGTCAGGACTGGAGCTGCTGCCCAGACAAGGTAGTATATGGGGCTTGGGATCTGAGGCCATGTGTGGCCACAGAGCCTGGGCAGGGAGTGGGATGGGGCCATGGGCAGCTTGTCCTGGAGCAGGGAGGCTGACTCCCCACTGTTAAGTGCACTCCTGGAGAGGCATGTGTGCCATGTTCCCCCCCAATTTCTGCACAGGGCAGTGGCAGGCTGCCCGCTGTAAGCTCAGGGCTCCCCACCCAGCTGCCCTGCCCCTGGGACACCCCTGTCCCAGCGGGCATGACCCGGTGTGGCAGGACAGAGTGAGGTGGGAAAGCTCATGTTGCCACTGCAAGCCCCGTGCCGCCCTGGCAAGGCACCCCCTGCCTGCCCCACAGCAGTGGGGGCACAGAGCTCAAGGTGGAGGCATTGAGCTTCCCTTCCTGACCCCACTGTCCTGCCACACCGCGTCTCACCCACTGGGCTGCGGAGGCCCTGTGGGGAAGGCAGCAGGACAGGGAGCACCAAGCCCACAGCAAGCAGCCCGCCTCCATCACCCCGCACGGGCTCTGCACTGGTTGTGCTGCCCGAGGGGGAGGGAGAGCCGGGCTCCATGATCTGCTCCACAGCAATAGCCACCACCTCCCACAGGCAGCAGCCAGGGCTCAGGTGCTGCTGTGGGGGGCAAGGAGCTACGGACCCAAGTCCTTGGCCCTGTAGCCCTGGCAGCTGGGGCCTCCTCCAGCAGGGCTGGGGAAGTGGGGAGCTGTGGGTGGGGAGTGAGGAGCAATGACATGGGCAGGGCTCCAGCATATCAGGGCTGTTCAGTGGCACAGAGGGGGCGGGGGCAGGCCCACAGCTGGACCCGTATCCTGGGGTGCAAAGAGGGCAGGGGGAGCTCTGATTTTCCATGATAAAACAACCCAAAATGCAACACCAAAATGTACAGGTATTTAGAATGTATTTAATTATAGTGATTGAGGCACTGGCAGACTTCAAAATTGGTTTAAAATTGTAAGTACGTCAATGAAACATTGTGTTCAATTGATACCTATATAGTGGCATTTCATTTAAATCATGGAAAAAATGCAGAATTTAGATTTTTTTAGGTTTTTTAAAATCAGAGAATTTGCAAATTTTAAACAGACAGAACCAGGATCCCCAGATCAGTACCCGTAAGTGTCCTTCCAGTGTGCCATTATTTTAAGGTCTACTACTGTTAGTATGATTGTATGCCACTTCTCTTTCATGGAAAAAGATGGCACAATGCAAATGGAAGTTAAGCACTGCCTCCAAATCCTACCAACTTTTAGTCCAAGACATGAGCCTTCTATAACCCTGGAAATCTTTCTTGCACCACAAACTAAACAGAAGGTATCAACACCCTCCAAGAGTTGGGCTTCATGTTGCTTTCCTTCAAGTGCCCACTCCATTCCCAGTTAACTGCTACAGACAATCACATGGAAGAGATTTTAGACACATTTATAGGCCTTCAGAAATACATGGCTCAGGCAAAAGCAGAGTCCATGATGCAAAGCTAGGTGAAACTAGTGGAAGTTTTCTATTAAAAGGGGTCTCAAAAGCTTCTACAAGCTCTTGCACTTTCCCCATCTCCCCAGTTTGCACAGCAAATGAATGCAGCTGCTTCTCACACAGTATGTCTTCTCAAATATGCTGCCACCTTCCTAGAGGCTTCTGCTATTTTTTAAATATAAGTCTGCTTTTGGACCAGTGCTCTCCTGGTAGCATCTCAAGAATCAAGAAATTAAGGTATTAAAAGCTGATGAAGGCCCCTCTTGTCTCTCCATCCATCATCTCAGTAGCACTTCTCTCTACATGATGAGCGGTTTCCAGCCAGCCTTGCTCATACAAGCATTCTGGATTCAAATATATAAAAGCTTTAGCGAGCCCGGCCGGGAGTCAGAAGTTGGATCCCAAGCTATCTCAGATGGTGCCTAAAATCCCTCTCTAGGGTCCTACACTCCCACCTCTGCATCAAGCATACGAAGCAAGCACTGATTGATTCTCTGTAAACCAGCAGAGCACATCCAGCTTATTTCTCTGAAACCGTACCTATCTACTCCTCTGTTAGGGAGGAAATGCTGATAAAAGGAAACACCACCACCCAATTGGACCTACCCATACCTCTGCAAACAGGAATTCACAATTATCATCAAGAGACACTAAGTGCCTTTAAATTCAAATCAGTCTCCTAACTTCTGAGCAGTTCAGGAGTTATTAGACCTAAGGTTTTGCTTTGCTCTTTTCTCTAGTTCCCTCTACATTTCCACAGAGACCAAAAAAAAAAAAAAAAATCACTTTCAGGCCAGGGGACTGTGATTTTAAATTAAAGAAAAAGAGAGCACAGCATTGACTTTAATTTTAAATTAAAGAAAAAGAGAGCACAGCATATATGAGGTTTATGGTTTAAGCTGCAGCAGTTGGGAAAACAAAACGGCTACTGGACCCAAAAATTCATGTTTCACGGCTCTTTTCAGATTATACCAATACAAACACATGCGTAAGTCAAGCCCCAACCTTCCAAAAGGATCTCAATGCTAGTAATGAGTACTGCTTCTATGAGTAAAGTTGGACACACAAGTATTTACAAGCTCAGGTCCTAATCATGCTGTTTTGGTGAAGCATCTATTTTAGATTTCTTAGCACTGCAGATATATAATTTCTCAATTGAAAAACAAACTATCCAAGCACATAATGTTAAACTTGCTGCCTTTTCTGTAGTCCCAAGGTAAAAAGAAAGAGGCAAAACAGTTCCATGCTTACATTTGAGTCATTTTGATCATTTGAGCTTCTTAATAAATCAATTTTATGCTATTCCTGGGAGGGTTCTACACTGCAGATTTCCTTTCATCCATCCACCAAATGCTTATCTAGTTGTTCTCCTCTACCCTCTCGCTGAACCGAATTTCCTTCAGGATGGTTTCAAGACTCTCAAACTGTGACAATTCAACACAAGGGGATTTTTAACATCTCTTTGAAATATTCAGCTGTAATCCTTCAGACACCAGAGCAATATAAGTCCTGGCTTTAAATATATCCCCAATGAGTGAAACTTGGATGGCCTAATACTCTTATTCACATGTGAGAGAGCCCAAAAACCAGGCAATGAACACTAGTCCTTTGGCCTAACAGCCATTCAGCATTTTGTCCAGTCATCAAAAAATCCCTCCCTACACTCATTATATCTACAACACTTGCCAACTGTTGAGAATTTAAGTGGGTTTTTATTAAAAATAAAAATGTAATACTGTCAGTATCATGCTATGCTGGGTTGATTCCCAAAGGTGCAGATTTTGGAAGAATACGGAGAAGCACTTGGGCACTTCCCCTCCCCTGCCTTTGAATTACAGTGCAGGGATTGAAAACTCACCAATTTCAACTGCTGAGCACCATCTCCCACCAACAAGAGTCAGCTTGCAGGACCCAGCCTGGGGAAAAGTTTCTTCAACACCGTACATCGACTAATTTCCTAGGCAGGATATGTATTCTTTTACATACCCCAGTGGTTCCCATTATTTCTATGCCATTCTATGTACACCTAAGAGATTTTGCTATTACATTAATACAAAAAAAATAAACTAAAAATATAGCAACACCACTCAAACTCCTAAAAATACACGAGTGGTGAAATAAAAGACAATCTGTGCTTTAAACCCAATATATTGTACCCTGCAAAGTACAGAGCTGCTACTCTATGCTGTGTAGCAAGGAGGTACCTGCATTTAGGATTCATTTTCCAACATCTTTGGATGTTTCTGTGCACTTCAATAGGCCATATTCTTATCTGTGTGCCGAAGTCTTCTTCATTCAGATTAGTGAAGCCCATTAGAAAGAAAGCTTCCCAACACATAAAAACAGAGCAAAGAAGCATTTGTACACAGCATAAAGAGCCCCACAAAAAAAAAAAAAGGCTAGCAAGCTAGCAGGGAGATTGTCCACAATAATATTTAGCTCTAATAAACATTATTTTTTATGCAAAGAAAATATTTGCCTCCGTTTTACAGCTGCAGAAGCTGGGACACAACAGGGCGAAGTGAATTACCCAAATTTACACCACTTGTATAGTGGGGGAAAAGAGGGCCGCAAAACTGGGAAGAAACTAAGGTCCCTTTAACTCCCAATCTGGGGTACTGCCCTTTGAAACATACCCCTGGGATTAGGAGGTACTACTGAAAAAGGACAAAAACTACAACCCCCAGAGAAGGGAAATCCCTAAAAAATTCCTTATAAGCCTCATCCTAAAAGGGGATCTGGAAACAGAACAGTAACATAAGCTTCAAACACCAATGATATCACATATTAAATATATTCCCTGCCTTTTAGACTCTTACCTGTTCCTGAAGCTGTATCTGAAGATCAGGGAAGCAGTACCTGGCTGCTGCCAACAGTCCCTGGCTGGCTGTGGCCCAGGTGGCTCAACTTGACTGATTGCAGCTACTGCAGTCAGTAGGATGGTGTTCACCTGTGTGGGCTGCAGCCAGCATGGCTACTCAGGCTCACAGAGGGCAGGTAAGGATTTTCTTTTACTATAGTCTTTTTTTAAACCAAATTATTCTCAGCAGCTTTTGGGAATGTTTGCTCTAGTCTGTGATGCTCAGGTAGCTTCTCCTTAAGTAATATTTACAGCAAAGAAGTAACCAACCCAGTCTACCCTTTAGAAGGAAATTCCTACCAGAGAAGATGGTAGAGGGCAAAAGTGATGATGATGATGACAGATTTCCAGCCCCAACTGTGCAATAGGGAAGGATCTCATTGTATAACAGGAATATTTAGGGATAAGAAAAAATGGAGGGGGAAAACAGGGTTTGATAAAATGACTCTGACTTAAAAATGATTGTCAATGTTTGTTTTAATTGCCTTTTTTAAGTATCAGTTGAAAATGCAGTGCATTTCCCAACTTTAGCATGCCCCTCAGCGTTAGAAACTTAAGCAGAGCAACTCAGGAAGCAAAAAAACAATCAGCAACAGTGTGAAAAGGAGTGCTTTACTTCAGTAGTCAATGGCAAGTTCTTTGTGAAAGCAGAAAAAAGGGAGGTTTGCTTTGAAATGTGTTAGTAATGAGAGATGACTCTAATGGCACAGGTAAGAAATTGTTTTGAATGTAAGGGGTGTTTTTCATACTGGTAATCAAGCAATTGCTAAGCAGGTATGGTTAAATCTAGCTCCTGGCTGTAGGGGACAGGGATAAGGTGGGCAATTGGCAGAAGGTATAAATGGATTCCTAAAGGAGAGTTCCTGTTAGGCAGATTCCTATTTCCTTCAACAGGATGCTGCATGGGTCCAGAGTACAGGGGATTTCAGGTTATGAAATAGGCTGAGCTTGCTACAGTTTTTCTTCCCTATATTAGGGAGATCATAGGCAAGGCTCATTCATGATGGTAGCAAGCCAAATTCACCCTACTCAAGAAGCAAGAATTTCTTAGGGTGATGACTTTTATTGAACCATCTATGTAGTTGGGATAAAGTTAGACAAGCTTTCAAATGCAAGAGACCTGATAAAGAATGTCTTCCATACCAAAGTTTGTCTAGCCTTAGAGCTGGTCCAATAAATCACCCTAAGAAATTCTGGCCTGGTTAGTCCAAGTCCGAGTCCCCAGTAAAGTCCGGTTTCAATATGATGTATTCTTGTTAATATTTAAGCTGGAGTTGATGAGTGGAACTAGAGCATCAAATACAAATAGATGTTGTGTAGAATTTTGTAGATATCTGATGGACCGTAGTCTATTTCATTCTCTTCTAATTTTTGAATGTTGCACATATTCCCCATAAAGATAATGTATCCAGTGCAGCAATAATTAGGGTGCCATTTGCAATCATGCATGTACTGTTTATATCAGCCCTTGCAACACTGGCTAGGCACAGACACTCAAAAACCCTGAGGCAGAATGGAGCTAAATTATGCAGTTTTCTGTAACCAGCATAGTTGAGATGAGTAGCGAACAGAACACATGCTCACCCTTTAGGAGTGGAGGGGAAACCTTATGCCAGGTTCTGCCATTTTTAAACCAGTCTGTGCATGCCACACTTCTGTTCTCTTACAGGTATAAACCGGTTTCTGATTGCTAATTATAGCAGTAAAAGTGTAATGTCTGCACCTAGCCATAGTGAACATCTCCTTGCCGAGTGCGTCCCATGCTGAGATTTGAATCTAGAACTCGCCTTATTCTGCTCTTCTGCAGATTGTTTGCTGCCTCTTTAGAAGCTATTTAATGCCTTTTCAGAAGAGGCATATGACTTTTCATTCTGCTCAGTGTAGTTTTGATGTAGTTGATATAGCAAGTGACTATTTGAGCGGAATATGTTTTCTTTGCTAATTGCCTAAGGTTCTTTGGTAGTTAGATTTGATGATAGAGTGATCTTTATAACACAGAGGTCACTTGAGAGTAATCCAAAAAGGATTTTAAATGAAGAAACCACTTGGACAAATTTTCCCAAGCCACGCACTAGCCACATAAACTTGGTGCCTCCTAGAGTATAGGAGGATCATTCAAACTACAAGGGTGGTCAAGCATTGCAGCAGGCAACCTGGAGAAGCTGTGGCATCTCCATCCTCAGAAATTTTCAAGAGCAGCTTGGACAGACACTTGGCTGGGAGGGTTTAGTCAGGGATGATCTTGCCTTGAGCAAGGGGCTAGACTAAATGACTTTGCAAGCTCCCTGCTAGCCCTACTTTCCTATGATCTTTTCTTCAGGAATAGCACAATGTCATTGGGTGATGCACCTAAGCTGCCTGCTGACTTTTCGCCCACTGTTGTGTTTTCAACCTGGACCAACTTGGGATTCTCAGGTGGTGATTTTGCAGCAGAGGTGCTACCTAAGCAGTGCTTTCCCCCTGCATCTATCCAGAAGGACAGATGAGTTCTCCCAGCATTCACTAGGAAATAGTCATAGAGCAGCTCGTAAGGATAATCCTCCAGGAGTCCTTGCGTTCTCACAGATGAGCGCAGCACCAGAGAGGATCTAGTGGGTCTATCTATACCTTTCACCTGCTGGGCTAGGCGACATCATGTTGAAACATGCTCCACTTGCACTTCCTTCTAAATCAGAAGCAGCAGAGTTGTATTTGCATAGCCCTGGGCCTGGTGCTATCAGACAGCAACCATTTATTCTGTTACAAAATGAGAAACTCCAAAAACAGCCTACTTACCTTAGCAGACACCATGAACAGCTTCTGCTTATTTTATATAGTAGCACTTCTATTAGAAACATTTATGCTCTAAAGAAGGAGGTGGCATGGAAATTACCTGCTGGGGCTGATTTTATTGAGTAGTGTCCTCCTAAAAACCCTCAGCTGTCTGCTGATTTTTTTTTTTTCCATGCTGATCATGACTCCTGCACCATTTCTGTTAAGAACGCTGAACTAGGAATGACTTTCCGCTCACTCAGGGATTTCGGCAAGTCTGAGTAATGATTGCTTTCTGCTCTGAAAACAGCTGCAGCAAGGAAAACGTCAAACTGCTAAAAATTCCACTGACTAATAATCCCTCTGCATTTCTTATCTGTCTGGTAAACTGCAGTAGTCATTTGTACATTATGAAACGCTGTACCATTTGATAGCTCAGTTAAGATGTGGAACAGTGTAAGTTTCTAGTGTCGGCTTGTAAAAACGATTGTGTTTAACTTGTAGAGTGTAAAAAGCAGAACGGAGGATTCTTATGGACCGCTAGAATTATGACCGTGCACAAAGAAAAGTAGCCTATATTATTGCTGCTTCTGTCACTGGCTATGGGTAAATCTGTTTCAAACTAATAAACTAGCACTTAAGGACTTCAGTGGAAACACCTCTTCAAATAGGAATGCAAACTTTTCCGAAAGGTGCATTTCCTAGTTCAAAAAATGCCATGCTGTATTATTTGACTTTGGTACAGTGTGTGTGCATGGAGCACTGCGTAGTGAGTAAAAACCTGGTTCCAGCCCACACAACTGAGACACTAAACTGATCATAAAATGGTTGATTGCGGAGGGTTACGGTTTGCCCATCTGTGCTGTTCAGCTCCTTCATAGGACTGTAGGGAGAAGTGTTGTGCTTTGTTAATAGATCTTGGGATCGCAACTCCACTCTCGGGGTTACTGTGATGTTAACTTCTCATGCTCGGTAAGGGAGTAATATATAGCATACATTATAACATGCATAATGTGATCATTTTGAACATCAAGAAAGGTTAAATTTGCAAGGAAACCGCAACTTTATACAACTCCAGTAAGCTAAAAGTTGCCTACTGGCCCTCTTCCAAATAGGCAGAAAATATTCCTTTAGTTTGTCTCTTCCAATAAGTAACATTAACTAGAAATGCAGTCATTCTTGGGACAAAGCAGCTTGCTAATATGGTTGCACTGTAAGTTATTATAGTAATCTTGTATGAGCTGGGACACTACATATATCTGGACTACTAAGCATGCAGTCATCTTGGCATAAATAAGGGCAACTAAATTGCTGGCCCATCCCGCTCTTATTTAGAAACAAGAGGTTAATGACTGAACCCATTCAACAAATAGTGTGATTTGGCCCTGGCCAAATATAGATGTCTCTGCTTTTTACATTAACAGTTTTCCATAACAGGGGGCTAAGGGTGTGTTTAAAAGCAGCTGTTTCTTAAATCCATTTCCAGACAACATTAGTTCAGTTGATTAATTTAGTGTGCACTCTTTCTTCCCCACTAGCAGCTTATTCTAATCCTGATGACTGTCACAGTCCAGATGTATTCTGTTAAACTCCTCTAGGACTATGTAGCATACTCATTCCCCTACAGCAGAAGTGATAATTACAATAGCTTTGAACCAAAGTTTGCCTGCCTTAGGTAGAGTAATGTGTTTTCCCTCTGAGTGACATAAATTCGCTATTTGAACTCAGCTTTTTGCCAAGTGCTGGAGAGGGATTTGGCTTAAATCAATACAGTAAGGAAAGGAAAGTACTGCAAAGAATGAACACAACCACCAGTATCTCTACCTTTATTCTATGCTCATCGTGTTCTGGTATCCATCCATTTTAGGCAGTAAAATTTCTATCTCCCATTCCCCTTGTCTGTTAAGTGGGATCACAAAATGAGCCAAGGTCTGCAAGCCTCCATACCCGTCAGTGGCCAGTCCATCAGGAGGCAACGCTTAATTGCAGCCTGTTCAGAACTAAACTAGCAGCTCAGGTCATGGCATTCATTTTTGGTCAGCCCTAATTTCATGCCGGATACACTGTTATCATCACTTTCAGTCCCTCAAGTGAGAGCTGTCTTGTCATTTCTTCATAACATGCACATCTTTTCTGTTAGAGGGTCAGGTTGTGAATTCCTCAGTGAGCAGTTACTCATACAACTAACTGCACTGATCACAGCAGGGCGACTCAGGGCTACAACATGGGAGTTAAGGGGACAGCCTCTGAATCAAAACTTCCTATACCTTAAACACTGG